ACAGAAGTTGCAGACATGGTTGCGGATAGTTGTTGTTAGTTCAAAGACTCAAGCAGGTAGGTGTGATAAAAACAACATCGTACCGGGCATATGGAACTTTTATATGAGTCTCACCAATCTCACCTCAAAGGTTCAGGCCCAAGCAAGCCAAGAAGCGCGGACGCGCGCCATAGCGGTTGTATTGCTCTTTGTCAGCCCTAGTCAGGCATAGCTTGCTCCCCGGGCCGAACGACATGCAGTCAACAGCAAGTGCCGGCGATGATTAATCCGAACTAGGCGGACGAACTCGGACCATAGCACAGTTACATGAACCATAGCCACGGAAACATGCGGGCTGACCAAGACGGCGGATCCGCGGATCATCCGCGGCTTAACATGGCATCCGCAATTCGAGCCCCAAAAGGGTCATCCGTATCCGTGGCGTCGATCCCGTCAATCGGATTCGAGAAAGGCAAATGACGCCAAACGTCCATAAAAACAATCGGAGCTCCCCCATGACTGCCCGGGCCAATTCACCTCGCCGGCCGTCAGCCACCGTTTCCCAGTCGGGCCAACCCCGTGCCCGCTGACCGGTGACTGGTCGGGTACACCTCCGCGGGTACCGGTGTGATAGTACCTGGGCTCTCGAAGTATGAGCACTTGCCCACCCTTCCGCTGGTGATTTATCCTTTTGTTATCTACGAAATCATACAGCAATTGTATGAAAGCCTTTTTCACAAGGACCAATTGTTTCCCGCATGACACTCCAAGCGGATCTGGGGATGTAAGTTGTTCATGCATGATGTGTACATGTGGACTTTAAGCCACCGCCTTCTTCTACTCAACCGGGTCAATGTATACCGGCATTGGACAGACGAGAATTATTTCAAGATCATTATTAGTCTAGCCTATCAAGATCAGGATGGTCTATCAATCCATCGTGATGCTCATCCATAGTACGATGTAAAAGCCCTCTCAAGGGTGCAAAACAATCATCCTCCACCTGGAACACGACCTGCCTCTTTCCTCCTCTGACTAGGCCGTCAAATCATGGATCTTGCGCTATGCGACAAATCCTCTTCGTGACAGTGGTATCATTAACTCTTTGCGAATCAAATCACAGAAAAACAATAAAATAGGCTGCGCCGTTCAGCACTCACCGCCCGCCATGCGCGCCTTCTCGTCATTGCTGTTGCTCGGGGAAGCATCAGCAGTGTGGGTATCGCCCGAGAGGTTGGTGTTGGTGCGGTGCTGGGAGCGGCTACGGCGGCCAGTCGACTCGCCAGTATCCTTTCGGCCGAAAGAGTGCCAACTCTTGAAAGAACTGAAGGTGATGGTCTTCTTGAAGTCGCGGCCCTCGTCTTCGCCACCCTGGCTGAAGGCACCGCGAACGACCTGGTGGTCGTCGAGAAGGTTGAAGGTGCGCTTGACGAACTTCCAAGCCTCGACGCCAACGACGTACAGGAGAGTGAATCCGACGACAATACCCCACTCCCAGGTGATGCCAATGTGCTTGAAAAGTGTGGTGTTGAGGGTCGGGATGTAGATGACAGGGAACACAGACAGGGCACCGATGATGACGGCCCAGAACAAGAACTTGTTGCCGTAAATGTCCTTGAAGAAGGGGAACTTGCTCTTGCTGTCGGGGTTGAGACGGAACATGGAGCGGCGAAGATTCTTGAACTCCCAGGCAGAAATGAGAATGATCCAGGTGAGCTCGGCAAAGACAGCGGCGCGGGCACGGAAGACGGGTCTACAAGCCTCGGTGAAGGTCTTATTGCACTCGGAACCCAGGTTTCCGCCGTTAGCTCCGTAGACGACAATAATGAAAGTGGCCAGGGTCAAGGCGCCCATGATGATACCATACACAATCATGTCAATGATGATCTGGTTGGTAAAGACACCACGCTTCTTATTCTGAGGGGGCTTGCGCATAACGTCGGAAGCAGCCTGCTCACGACCCAGACCGAAGGCGGGGAAGGATGAGGTAACCATGTTGATCCAGAGAATCTCAAGAGGAGAAATTGGGAAGACGGACAGATCGGCACCGTCGCGGAAAGCAAGACCGCAGCACAGAAGAATAACTTCGCCAACGTTGGAGCTGAGAAGATGGAGAATGAACTTCTGGATGTTGTCAAACATGCGACGACCCTGGCGAATGGCGGAAACGATGGAGTTGAACTTGTCGTCCGTGAGCACAATCTTGGAGGCCGACTTGGCGACATCAGAACCAGAGCCCATGGCAATGCCGACATCAGCACGGGCCAAGGAAGGGGCATCGTTGACACCATCACCAGTCATGGCCATGAAGGCGTTGCGGCGACGAAGGGCGTCGATCATTCGAGTCTTGGTATCGGGAGCACAACGGGCAATGACCAGAGGCAGCTCGGGCATGGCATCAATTTCGGCATCAGTCATTTTGTCGAAATCCGTGGCCTTCTGCACAACAGCTTTGGCTACTTCGTCGGGGAGAACACCCAGGTTCTTGGGGATGATGCCGACTTCTTTGGCAATAGCCTTGGCTGTCTCGGGGTGGTCGCCTGTAAGCATGTGGACCTTGATACCGGCTGAAGAACATTCGGCGATGGATGGCTTAGTCTCTCGGCGGGGAGGGTCGTAGATACCAGCGAGACCAAGAAGAGTAAGACCCTGTTCAACTTCGGTACGCAGGGCATCTTCCTTCTCCTGGGCGACGTCAGCCTGCTTGGTGGTAAACTTTCCATTCCAGTCGCGGCAGCCGATGGCAAGAACTCGCTGGCCTTGGGAGGCCAACTCGTTCATCTGGCTGAGAACGTCCTCTTTCAAGGCGTCGGTGAGCTCCTGTCTGTCCTCGCCAAAGCCGATGTGGGTGCAGAGATCCAGGATGCGCTCGACGGCACCCTTGGTGAAGACCAAACTGTTCTCGGGGCTCCAGATATCGGCAGTCTCGTCGTTCTCGGGGATGTCGTAGATGACAGACATACGCTTGATGGAGCTGTCAAAGGGGAATTCAGCAAGTTGTTTCCAGCCCAGGCCCTCGAGGGACTTCTTTCCGAGCTTGAAGCGGTGTGAAAAGATTTGAAGAGCAATCTCTGTGGGCTCGCCCGTAGTTTGCCACTTGGCTTCTTCCTCATCGTATCGGACAGTGGCCAGGTTGCAGAGAGCGGAAGACAGGAGGAAAGCCTTGAGGCGCGGGGTCATCTCAGCCTCATTCTCAGCCTCAGGCGCCTTCGCAGGCTGCTTGTTCTGAAGCTTCTCCTCGGGGACATCGAACTTGAGAACAGCGGCAGATCGCTCCTGATCGTAGTCGCGCTTGGGGGCCTCATCGACGACCTTCTCCTGCTCCTTTGACTCCGAGTGGGTGACGCGACCCTTGGTCGGGTCGTTGGGGCTTTGCGAGTCTCGGACAGTGTAGGTGTGGGAGAAGGGAAGCCAAGCCTTGCGGACAATCATAGCACCCTGTGTAAGGGTTCCAGTCTTATCGGAGCAGATGTTGGTAACACCACCAAGGGCCTCGAGAGCAGAAAGGTCTCGGACGACGACGTTAGACTTTCGCATGACCGTCACGGCGACAACCATTGTGATAGTGAGGACACTGTTAGGCTACTGTTAGTGGTAACTTTGATTGGCAAAGAAGTACTTAGGACTTACGCGACGAGAGATTCCGGGATGATGGCAATACCGAGAGAAACGGCATAGATGATGACTTCGCCAGTAACATCGAACTTGTGAGCAGCGAAGACAATGATGGCCAGGATGATGGCACAACCGAAAAGAAGGTAGGCCAGAGCGGCCAGCTTCTTCTGCAGAGGGGTACCCTCAGTGAGACCCAAGAACTTGCCAACAGCATCGTAGACACGTCTAGAGAGACCAACAACGGGCTGACGCTTGCCGTACTTCTTGTAGTTCATGGAGCGACCGGGCTTGCGCGTCTTCTTTTGAGTAGATGCAGCGATCTTGCCGACCTCGGTCTGCATGCCAGTAGCAACCACAATACCGCGACCACGGCCCTTGCGAACGATTGTTGTGGCGTATGCGATGTTGAGGCGGTCACCGATACCGACTTCGCCCTCTTCCGTGGCTTTCTTCTCAGAGCCAGGGACCATGATGTTGGCTTCGGTGGTCTTATCGACGGGTTGAGCTTCACCGGTAAGAGACTGCTCATCGCAAGACAGGTTCATAGCCTCGAACATGCGCATGTCGGCAGGCACTGTATCACCCATCTTGAGAAGAATGATGTCACCAGGGACGACTTCAGCGCTGTTGCAACGGTTAGCATGTTTGCCAAGGGAAAACAAGCAAGGCGGCTAAGAGCCAAGAGAGCCAAGATGAGAGGAAGCGGGGGGGACCGCGCGTTGACGCGTTGTGCATACTTACTTGGGAATAACTTTGGTCTTTCCGTCGCGGAGAACGTTGGCAGAGGGGGCAGAAAGAGTGCGGAGAGCATCCATCTGTTTCTCGGCACGGTATTCCTGCCAGAAACCAATGGTGACGTTGGCGACAATGACGAAGGCAAGAACGCCGCCCTCGATGTAGTCGTTGATGGCGAAACTCAGAATCATGGCGAAGACGAGAACGAGCACCATGGCATTGAACAACTGCTTGCTAAGAATTGTGTACCATGGCACCGACTCGCCAACTTCGAACTCATTGGGAGGGTACTTGTCCGAAGCCTGCTGGACTTGCTGCGAAGACAATCCCTTGTCGGGGTCAACTCCGAGCGCCTGCGCGGTCTCTTGGACCGTCAGCAAGAAGGGGTGTTTTGGGTAGTCACCAGACATTGTGTCGTGTCTGAGCTGGCGACGTTGATGCGATGTAGGATGTTTCCATTCACGATCGGGGTGGTAGGTGGAGAGAAGCTTGAATCAGCTGTAGAACTTGCCAAATCGAAGCTGGAGATAGGCGGTTGTAGTGATGATGCCTCTCACTCGCGGATGAGGTCAGAGAGGATGGTTGATGGTTGGCTTGGTAACCTTGGAAAAGCTTCTTCTTCCGTTGTGTGGTTGGAAGGAAGGAGAGGGAAAGCTATCTGACCGACAGATCTAGAGTTTGAGATGACAAAGGTTGGAGGGGGGGACAAGGCTACCTTTATAGACTGACAGCCGGGAGACTGGTAGACTTAGAAATGCGCAGGGTTTCGAAAAGTTTGGAAGCTTGTGCCTCGTAACCCACAAGGTTATCAGCGTCAGACTGGGGAAGTGAAAGAAAGAGAAAGAAAAAGCTGGGAAAGATGCCAAGGTCTGGGCATATGATAACACGCCCCCCTTCCCCTTCGTAGAGGGGCGTTGTCGTGAAGGGAACATTGGCACGAGAGCTTGCAAAAGAAAAAAGGCATTCGGTCATTGTGCCGACTGAAAGTGTGTGATTGGGCGTTGGTGGTTGTACCAAGGCGGTAGACATGGAAGCTTGACTTGGCTGAACTTGGCGGGTGGTGAGCTTCTTGGCTTTTGGAGACCGTTCCAGTTTCCTGAGAAGTTTGGTTTGGAATTGGAAAAGGCAGGAAAAAAATGAGAGACTGAGAGCAAAGACGGTCCGGTTGGGTGGTGGTCCTCGGGTGACGATGACCTTGGCGGAGCTCTTGGCGGAAGGAAGCGGCGTGGACGGAAGTGGGGCACCCAGAGGGAGTGGGGTCCGGTGGTGGGGCATGGATTAAGGTAGGGAAAGAGCAGGGGGCGCTGGAGAAGGAAGGAACTCTGGAGAGAAGGGCCGGAGGGAGGCCCGGGGGTACGCAATGTGAGTATGTATTTACTCTCTTGCCTTACTCATTGATATATCAAGGCAGGTTGCAGGTTGTTTCTCTATGACATCTTATCGAAAGAATGGAACTTCATCATGAGAGACTGGAGGTATGGCATTTGCTTACTCATATGGGCCAGTTGTGTCAAGCGGCCAACAGATCGTGAGCTGCAGTAGCAGGAGGACGGTGTTCTGCCATTGGAGCCTCCATGCAAAACAGCAGAAACATGACTATAAAACGAACAGGCCATTGCAGCTGCAAACAGATAGAAAGTTTTTAGCGTGCACACATATTTAAAAATTGAGTGTGACTCTGCAGCTTTTCTCGCTGCGAAGGCAATGGAATGGAACGAACCCATTTCATGTCAGTGACGCCATTGGCCGCCTCTCGGCGAATAAAGTTATTTGATGCGATAAACCAATGGACAGTCTCAACTGCGCCATGGGGGCATGCATCACGTGCTACTGGACTTGCTCGAACCAGACGCACAGACATTTCCACATTTTATATGGGGTCTTTTGCACGAGCATGTTGTGTGATTGGCCTGTCATCTCTTGGCCACTGGATTCCTTCTCTCTTGGCTTTTGCCTCCAGCTGGTCCAGATACCACAGTACCTGGTTACAGCGGGTGGAGGTATCTTACCAGCCAAGATGCACAGCCTTGGTACTTACGCACCTCAGCGGACTCGCCGCGACTATCCGCCGTAAGTTGGTTGCAAGGGGGCGAATCATGGCGCCTTGGCTGCCCTGAGAGCCTGAGAGCCGCTGGGACTGGACGCCTATACGCTGCTGTGTCATGTTCGTTTTTGTTTGGCCGTTTGCGTTGCACCTTCCCGGCCACGCATAGGTACTTGCCTGGATACGAATGGGGAGGTACACCCAAATGGAACAACTCCCGGCTTCACCTCAACAAAAAAAAGACCCCGAAACAACGTGATCCTTTCAACAACGCCGCCTCTCCAGATGCCGAACTCCTACTTGCACCCCGGAACGACATGCCAAACCCAGTCATCGTATATCTCCGAGTGCTAAGGCTGAGAGAGGCTCTGCTCTGACTCTTCACAAGCTTTGATATCACGTGTACCCTCCCTACGCGTCAGCTGATCAGTCTTCTTCGTATGGAAGATGCTTGCAACCCAACACGTCGTCGAATCCATCACCGAACCCGAAGAAAGCCGGAGCCCGACGCTGACTTCGCGTTCCGCCGGGCGGAGCGAGATGGCGACACCGGATGGCACGCCACTTTCAATCACTTTTCGCCCAACTCCGTCCGCTGCCAAGATTTCGACCTTTACCACACCAGTTCGTCCGCGCCGTCGGTCGTACACTATCTTTCACACCATCTAACACCAGCTTGCGTATCAAAAGGTCTGGCTAGGCAGACTTGGACGGAAGGACCTTCAAGGTGGACCGGGGTTCGATGGCGAGCCGCCGGCGCGGGCGACGTAGGAAACCTCTCCAGCCTCCGGACAACGATTGCCGGCGAACGTCGCCGTGCCGCCCCGGGCATGGGCATACGAAAAAAGCAAGTCTATTCCGACTGCAAGCGAGGAATGCAATAGCCATCCTGCCATTTCTGCAACCGCTATCCGTACAACCATTCACTCACGCTGGAATGTGGGTTTCTGGCAGTCGTGCCCAGCCTACATACCATCAATACCGAATCCTCTAGAAGTAGACCCATCCTGATCAACTGGCAAGGCGACAAGTATTCTACCTACGGCCTCCTGTCCATGCTTCGCGCGTATCATATACCTACCATGGCATGACTACAGTCAGGACCTAGCTACCCACCATTGCGACTCCGTTTGCGCCGGCTCTACTTGGCGGCCCTTGGCGGTTCTTGTCCTACGACTCAACGACGTTGGATCAGCTCCGACGTGGGATGACCGAAGCTGGGCCCAGGCATTCTAGACCCCAGAAAATCCCCATTGACCCCATAATCCCACATCGCCGTCAATTGACCACTCACGGCCCCGAAGCCTGCAGCCCGCAACCCGAGGACACAGGATCGCAGCTCGCACTACCAAACCACCCATCACACACAGACCAGAACGAGGGGACGAGAGACATTACATCGCACACATGGAGGGGTTGCGTCGACGATCCAAGCGCAATGCTGATCCCTTCTGTCGGTTTTCCTCATCTGTGCTGTCTGTCGCCCATCACCCCGCGCTCGGCGCCCGTATATGCGCACGAGGCATCCGAGATCGAATTATCGCCCCCGGCGGCTAGTGTACTCCCCCTTCCTTATCCGAACTGCTTCAAACCGACGTCCTCGCCAACGCCGAGCTCAAGTTTCCAATTCTTGTCATTCTTGTTCACCAAGTGCAACATTGTGTGGTCTGACAAGGTCACAATCTTCTCGGTGGAGTTGCCAAGCGCTTGGCTTCTCGCGACCGCGCAAGATGGTGTGGACCGGGCCAAGTGACGTAGGAGGTTCAACCCAGAGCGCCCTCCCCCCCCCCCCCTTTGAGCCCCTCGGTTCTCTCGTTCCACGCTCGCTCAGGCCAGAACACCACTAGTTCTTCCTCGCATGTTCTTGGCAACGAAACTATTTCGCCAAGCCGTCGCCGTGGTCCCTGGTGTTGTCGAAACCACAGATCGGGTTCGTGTATAGCTTCGTAAAGAATCCAAATCATGCTCACTGACACTCTCCATGCCGTCATCTCGCGCCACCGGCCATCGTCCCGAACCAACCCCTCGGAACGGCCTATGTTAGACTCTAATTGTCGGTTTTCCCCTATGGCGCTATTAGCGTAAGTCACTTTTCTCTTGGAGAAAACAATACGTTGCTCGCACGTTTGTAGCAACATAGCTGGGATGAGACACCTAGCCGGTGGGTGGCAGCATGCTCGCCCATCACAAACACACTTTGAGGGTGGTCACTACAGCAACAACTCGCTTGCGATGATAGTCGGTACTGCAGTCATGACCTAAGCCTCTAGCTATCCGTTTGCCCGTCTTACCCTTTCCTCGTTCGCGGAATGGTCCACGCGAAGCTTGACCTTTGCTTATCCTCCCACCTCCCATGAGCTTGTATTACGGCACTATGCATGTACCCACGTCTTGGATGATGGAATTAATCCCATTCCCAAGCGTCTGTCTGCCGGTCCTGCGGGGTTGGAGGCATGCAGAATGTATACCTTGCCTTTGACGCTTGGCCGCAGCGCCGTCATCATACATAAAGCAGCAGAGACGAGTACCCACCGAGTCGTAACTCGATCAGAAGATGAAGGATCTCTCAAAGGACCAGACCGCAGCTGCTTTGAGGGGTCCTTTACTGCGCCGACGCCCTCCTCTCCACCTGTGACTTTATCCAAGGCTTGGTGCTCTTGGGATATTCTTGGCCTTGGCGAAGCTGACCAACGGCCAGATCAAAAGGTTGTAAAACGGCTTTGCCAAGATTAGGCGATCAGCTGAAATCCAGCAAGAGGGAAAACAGATTGAGCTATAGATCTACATGCTTGGTTCCATTGCGTTGCCACACCTTATCTGTCAACAAGTCTTTGATATAGGTCTTGTTAGATTGCTAGATTGCCGATGGGGTATGAAGCTTGTGAGCCATTGGCTTTTGTTTAACCGTCCAAGCCGAGAATCACCCCAGATTATTGATTGAGTAACATTATCTGAGACTATTGGCCAGTTCATGTGATACTTGTTGACTGGTACAACTCGTCTCTATTGGCCACTGATCATTGCTGAAGCTCCTGGGTTCGACAAGCGTCGAGACATTTGTCGCTTGCCCAGTAAAGCATCGCAACAGAGCTTAGTTGCGCCTTCCGGATGCGTTGCTCAAGGTAGATGGTTTCCAGAGTACGGTGCAACTTATTTCATGGTCAACATTGCACTTACGAATCTGTTCTACGGTGTAATACCTGACGCCACAAAGGAAAAGTCGGTCAGAACGCTAAGAGTTGCGCAAGTATGTCCGTTATATAAGGTGTGCAGATGTATTCAACCAGTCTCCAATGCCATTGACCGATACCTACGTACCTTCCCTCACTAGAAAGGGCCAGGATAGTGAAGATACTGCCAGGTTGCCAACTTGCAGCAGTGAAAATGAGAATCCCCAAATCCACAGCACTCTGTCTTCTCATCGCCAGGACGGTGAGCTGTAAGTCCTGCGCAATATCCTCACTTGGACAAAAACTAATACACTTTCCAGATGCTCAAGAGCTCTTTCAAGACACCATATCCACCGACGAGCTTCCTGCCCTTTGCTCAGTACTCTGTCTACCGCTCAAACTCGTCTTCCCGAACTGTGATACGCTCTGCCAGACATGCGAGAAGCCCAAGATGTTTTGCAAGACTCGGGAGACGGCCGAGTGTGTCGATACGTCCACTGACGTCAATAATTGTGGGAAGTGTGGGAACAAGGTAGGTGTTATTGTCTACATAACTTGCATACATCCTTTTTACCTTGTAGCCAGATATGCGGTATTTGGACTGACATGTTGAACACTAAAGTGCGGCGAAAAGGAAAGCTGTTGTACTTCGAAGTGCGTCCCCGAGAACAACTTTCAGGCCGATGTCAACAATTGTGGCAAATGCGGCGTCAGGGTACGTGGATATTCCGCTGCATCTTCTCCTCATAAAATCGACGTTCCCAATCATTTACTCATTTTCTTTAGTGTGACGAAGGTCAAGCTTGTTGCGATTCCAAGTGTATGAGCACGACGCAGTTGCAGAGTGATGGCAAAAATTGCGGAAAGTGCGGTACCAAGGCAAGTCACCCTCGACGTAAAGCCCAGCCCATCTTGTAGATGCAAGTATCGCGGTTTAGTATCGAAGGCTAATTGGACTTTACTAGTGCGGCAAGGGCACGACGTGCTGCAACTCCGAGTGCCTACCCAACGACACATTTCAGAGCGATCCCATGAACTGCAGCAAATGCGGAAACAAGGTGAGGCTCTTCCCCAACACGGTCCATTACCCATACCTACCTTAGTACAAGACGGTTCGACTGACTACGACAATAGTGCCCTGAAACCTTCAACTGCCACTCAGGCCACTGCCTCGAACCACACACCTGCAAAGCAGGCGTTTCCCTCCTCGAAAGCTGTCAAGACCCCATCGTCAGTGGATCAAGCTGCGGTGCTGGCGAAGACGAATTGTGCGACTGCATGGAGTCTGTTGAAGGCGATCCGTTTTGCGGCGCGTTCGATGGGCAGTTTTGTCAGGATATGTGCAATTCTGATAATGATTGCCAAAATAGTAAGGGGAAGAAGTGTGCGAGAAGGGACAAGACTTGTTGTTCGGCGGTGACTACTGATGATAAAAGTCACAAGACCTTTAAGGGTGTGTGTTTCGAGGCTTGTGCAGGGAAATGAGGTCCAGCGCCGTTGGTGGCTTGGTTTTCCACGTCTCTAACAGTCCGTACTCTACTCTACTTTGGAATTCTGCAACACAGCAGTCACGGGAAGTTTGTTAACATGGATATGTTATGAGTTCAACAAAATTCACGCAAGTCTGTGGAGGAGCCTGGCATCAATGGTACTAGAAGTCAATCATCGCCACATTCGTCAATATGATAGCTGCTGGTAACTCTTTACCACCTTGCTGCCTATTTTACTGCACGTAAATGCTGCTGTATATAGTCGATAAAATAGACACCTTGATATCTTTCGAAGAATGTTTATCAAATAACCCGAGCTTTGAATCAAACTACTGTCAGGTATTTTCCTCTACTCATGGTATCTCCGAAACGCAAAGCCTTCGACTCCGTGATGTCCAGCGTGCCCACTCCCTGAAACCTTCAACCTTACCACTCCGCTTCCACGAACTTCCTTTCGATGTTGGCTTCCGGAGATAGCCTCAGCGTAAATATGACATTGGAGCTTTCTTCCCACCCATGCTTCATCTCATTCTCATCTCCCTCATACCACACTGGTCTTGGCTTTCACCCATTGCACCACATTGGACAAGGTACATATACTCCTTTCCATCCTGTCAGGGGTATAACTAACGTATCAAGAGAATCTACTCACAGCCATCCATTCATTCACATACACAGCTACGTACACCCACGCAACCGCAAGCATGAAGCTGTCAACTACCCTCGCTATTCTTCTCGCCCCCATGGCAGTCTTCGCCAAACCCCCCAAACGTACCAGCGCACGCCACGTCAGAATCGACAGACTCCCCACTTGCATCCAATACTGCATTGGAGAAACACAATGGCGCATCAAAGGCGCCACGCTCCCAAAGCTCGCCGGCGAATGGTGCGCGAAAACCGCCGCACACACGCCGGACTGGATCAGCTTCGGCAAAGCTTTGGACGAGTGCAAGAAGCACCAGTGCGATAACAGCATCCAGTGGATCGACCTCGCCGTCTGGCACTGGGACATGTGCGAGTGGAGCGATGTCAAGGAGGAGGGCATGAACCTTCTCAATGGCTATCGCAAGGCGTACTGGTTGCCTAATGATCGTCAACCTATTCGACCTCCTCATTCGAGAAACTGGATCTCGGATGAGACGTTTGAGGCTCCCGATGAGTGGAATGAGAATAATGGAATTGGAGATGACATTCCGGAAGATCAACCTCCGCTCCACGGCTGATAGACCCTCTTCGACGAACCGCTTCTGAACGAGATTGGTGGCATCTGAGAGGATGGATATCAAAGTCTAGATATGGTCGTCCGGATGGATGCGCGTCAGTCGGCACCGGTCAAGATGTTGGCGACTACACGAGGCTTTTCCACCAGCCATTAATCCCATGTTCGATGCGGTCCCCGCGAAAGGTACCTATGCTAAATCAGCCACCATCAACTTGCACTAACCCTGTCGCAAGTAATGTTTCGATGACTACTCCGTTATTGATAGGTAGATATCAATGAATGTATCATGTATTGAAACATTATTGAGAGATTGCTGCTTCTCTCAGTCGCTCTCTGGGCTTAGAATTCTATTTGCAGAAACCCCTCCGTGTCACAAGGTCATACCTGTGTAGGTTGTAAACATAGACATCGTAGCTCCATAGCTCAGATTCAAGTCCGTAGCATTTGACAAAGTCCGACAGGTTTTGCGGACTTTCAACTGAAGTCCCTCTCAGTGAAGCCAAAATGTGGCTGTGGCAGTCACAGCTGAACGCAATTGTGACACTGCATGTAGCATGACTGCCGAGAGGCGGACTTGGCGGACTTTGAGCAATCCTGTTGCTGAAACTAAGTATAATCATTTCGCGTTTCCATTGATATCTTGCGCCTTACACTCACTTTTAACCATGACAGGTGCTGCTCTTTTCGTCGGAAGTGATGGACAAGTCGTTACTCGACATGACCTCCCTCCAGTCACAGCACGAGACGACGAGATTCTCATTGATGTCGTCTACTCGGGAGTCAACCCTGCGGATCTCAAGATAGTACACTTCACCAACTTCCGCAACTCTGTCTCGGGAACCGACTTCTGCGGCAAGGTCCTAGACTGCCCCGCGCTCGTCGACTCTGGGTTCAAAGTCGGCGACATCGTGGCCGGTCAGAGTGTTGCCCATGGAGAATACTCCAAAGAGTACGGCGCTCATAAGCCGCGCATCTCCACGCCGAAACTTGGCCTTTTCAGAGTCCCTGAGAACATGCCCCGCCCCGACGCTGCAGCCATAACCACCGTCAGCCACACCGCCAGCGACGCATTGTACAACCACTTCAAACTTCCTCTCCCAGGATCCAGTACTGATGTTGTTGAGGGCACGCTGGTTGTATGGGGTGGAGGAACGGCCGTCGGCCTGTCCGCCATCCAGCTGGCCCGAGCTAGCGGGGTTACCAACATCATCACTACGGCATCTCTCCCCCGTCATGATCTTCTCCGAGGACTCGGTGCAACCGAATGCTTCGACTACAAGGATGCCGATGTCTCAGACAAGGTCAGACAAGCGGTCATCAAAACAGGCCACTCTCGGGTATGGGGATTCGAGACCGCGGGGTCGCTCGAATCAAGTCAGCTGCTGCTCGGTGCGCTTACCAACATCAATGCCGATACTCAATTTTCTTGGGTCAATGCAACGGGTGCGCAGCGTCCGCCAAGCGAATCAGTCCTCGGATCCCGAGACTACGATATTGTCTTCGAGGTTGCCGGTGGTCGCCATGTCATCCCCGCAGAACCTGGAAAGGCCTCCAACATGTGGGCTGCTCTCAACTGGGTAGTCAAGAGTTACGGAAAGGGATTCGAGCTTCCTGTCGTGCGTGTGTTCGAGGGTACGGGAGAAAAGGCGCTGGAAGAGATGGAGACAGTGTCCAAGCAAGGAACATTTGGGAAGCTCGTGCTGAAGCATCCCCTTCAGTGATGCTAAGGCTAGGGCTGGTGTTTTCATGCAAATAGTCCGGGGCGGCTGCCAAACCCATCTCTCTCTTTCGAAGAACAAGTCAGGAAAGTGATGGAAGTGAACATCCCAGAGGTGAAGGAAATCCTGGGAGGGAAGAATGGGATGTCAGAAGCAGGAAACGATGCGTACTGATTTCACAATCTGGTAGTCATCAGATTTTAGAAGAGGCGGTTCATAAGGTGCTGACTTATACGGTATACAGGGACAGCGGACTTTGAAGTAATTTTAGTGCTTGAATCTTCAGGTTCCCTTCCCGGTCGGCGGACGGCCAGGGTCCCCACTTTCCTCCACTATCCATCCGCCGTTCCTCCGCTAGTGCTCCGGAGCAATTCCGCCGCATTGTGTACTGTGCTTGACGTGATACACAGTCGGCATTCTGACAGTCTACCGATGTAGCTTCAGCCTCCATGCTTGACATCATGCTTTCTACATGTCTCCGAAGCATTTCGCGTGTGCGTCTCAAGAATTTACAAAGTTCCAATAGTACCGAGCGGAGGAACTATCATCGCGCGCGCTTACTTCAAGCCCGATACTTCCGGACTTCGGACTCTATCTTCAGCTTTAAAGCTTAAAGGCACTTATTCAATTCTATGCAACTATTTCAGCGCATCAAGTATAAATGACGATGGACCGATGCCAAATTCATCACCAGACCCCCATCGCATCACAAACCTTTCAGCCTCAAGACAGCCCTCCCCTGCAACTCTCCAGAACTTTTGGAAACTGAGTCTTCCCTCAAGTGGCATCCTCAACACAATCTTTTCAGAATGGCTAATCAGTGGATGCCTCTAAAGGATATGCCTAATTTGAAAGGAAAGATCGCCGTCGTGACGGGCGGCAAGTACGCAACTATCTCCAAATCACCCAAGTGTTGTAAAATCCTCGTCCCTCAGGCGGGTATCTGACAGGACACGGTCAACAGCAGCGATATTGGTCGCGAAATAGCAAGACTTCTCGCACAGAAGAGCGCAAAGGTCTACTTCACCACACGCTCCGATACAACAGCAATCAAAACACGCAATCGAATCTTGGAGGGTCACCCTGAAATCGATCCCGAAAACCTGCAGTGGATGACGATGGATGTCACCGATATGCGAAGTGTAACCTCGACAGTGGACAAGCTCAAGGCGAAGGAGCACAAAGTCGACATTCTAAGTACGTCTCATCACTGATCCTTTTTCTCCTTCTTGCCTGGTTCTCACATGCAGATCGTCCAGTCCACAATGCGGCCGCAGGAACAACGTCTACGGAATTGGTTGGACCTGGATGGGAGGTACATATGGCTACCAAGTATGTCAACCAGTCTCGATTAGTTGGAAAAGTTGAGCATAAGGTACTAAACACTGTAGTTTCATCGGCCCCTTTCTCCTCACCAACCGCATGCTCCCGCTGCTGAAGAACGCCCTCAAGGATAAAGACGCCGACGTCCGAGTGGTCACGATGAGCTCAAGTGCTCAAGTCGCATTGGTACCGGGCAAATTTCCATTCAACTTCAACTCTCCCGACTGCTTCTGTAATCCAGTCCCCTCGCCTCCCTGGCAGTGGCGCTATGTCGGTCGCTTCATATTCGGCTTCGACACGATCCGCTACGGCGTATCCAAAGCTGCCAATGCCATACTCGCCCAGGAACTGCAGAAGCGGATGGATGAGCAGAAACTGCCGATTTTATCCATGGCAGTACACCCCGGCGAAGTCGCCACCGAGGGCGTGTTCTCGATCAATCCTAGTCTGATCAAGACGATTGCGCGTTGGACATTCATCTTCCCAGAGCAAGGCGCTGCGACGCCCGTCTTTGCAGCTGTCTCGAAGGAGATTCGCCAGGATGCCTTCAAATACAAGGGCAAGTTCGTGTTCCCTGGTGGGAAGATTGGAGACCCGAACCCAGTCGCTTCGAACGAGGAGCAAGTCACTGGGTTGTGGCGCAACGCCAATGAGGAAGTGAATGCGCAGCTTTGCGCTCAAGGACTCCCTGGTCTTCAACCATGGTAATCAGGTGCTGAAGTCTCTCGAATCACTTTTGGTAGCTCGCTTGTTGCTGTGCTTCCATGTAGAGTACATGTGTATGTATATGTATGCAGTCAACAACTTAGAAACAAATTGCTATTTCGGATCCTCAAGAGAAGCCACATGCACGTCTCACGGTAACTAGATGAGCACTGCTCCACTTCACTGATTTCGTTGCAATGATGAGCAATAGGCTAGTTAACCCATAACGCCAAACTCGGTAGAGCTCAAACACAAGTCCCATAGTTTACAGAAACACAATCTCCGGTGCTCACAACCCACTGATCCACCTTTTCCAATCCCCATAGAAGAGTGAACATCAGCCGCGCAAATTCATCAACCTCAGCAGCCCGAATTCCTCGGGCCACCAGAGACTGTCCCTTTAGGCTATGCAGAAATAAAGGGTCCTCTTTCCGCGCGGCGGCTTCCCAGCGGGCAGAGGAGGAAGCTTCCCAGAGTTCGCCGCGGAGCGTGATACAGACGTCACCGGCACAGTCATGAGTCCAAGTCTCTTTCAGGCTGGTGTATACCCCCGTAGCCATACTCGTAAGAAGGAAGGTGCGACGGATGGACTCGGAGAGGATGAAGGCTTGATACAAGCTGGTGACTACGTCCGTCTCAATGGTTTGAGTACATGACATCCTCGATAGAAAGTTGGGAAAAACTGGGGACGTCGTTGCATCTAGCGCTGCCGACTCCCACAGCTGGCGGGCCCAGAGACGCAGGGTGTCTATCAAGTTCTCCGCTTTGCTTCTCCGAGGTATTGACGGGGAGAAGAGGCACAAGAGCAGGTGGATCAAAAGAGCCTGAGTGCGCGCTAGATGTTGCCTTGTCGAGAGGATCGGGAGAAACGGGGCCTCGTCTGCGGAGTTGGCGGCTAAGAGGGTCATGATGTAATTCGACGACACCGCGTCTACCACGTGCTCGTTATCCGGGGTGATGGTTTGTGCTATAGCAATAGCTGCGTATGCATCCTGGATACACTGGGGCATGGTCGTCTCGGAGTAGAGGTGCTGGTGGATGAAGGGATTGTACCCCTTGTGGAGGAAGCGGACGAGCCAAGATTGCAGTCCGCGGATGAAGTTGGTAAAGACTGCGGCTGGCGGAATTGACACCGGCGCTTCGCGTTGGTAGTCGATGGTCCAGGAGGTGGATTGGAGAAACCAGTTCAAGCCTTCCGCGTTGGGGACATCAGGCCTCGAAGCGCTATCGGAGGTGATCTGGCTTATGGCGGCGGAGGAGGTGGAGGAAGAAGACGTGGCTGTCATCGTCGTTGCGGCGATATTTGCTGCCGGCCCGGGTGCGGATACCGGAGCAAAAAGGGCCTCATCCAGCACGACCCCGATATTGTCGAGGTCGCTTCCTGGCCACGAGGCCTCGATATCCCACCCGGATCCCAGTCGCGAGCTGACATGGCTCGATATAGGCGCTTGTCTACTTCGCCGGACAGTGGGATACGTGCAAACGACTTCCTTGTCCAGACACCGTGAGCAGGCCGGGAGACTTTGGTCGCAACGCCTCTTTGCTTCCACACAAGCAAAGCAGGACTTTTGTTTCGATCTGCGGGCCATGGTGAGCTGATGGATTGTTGAAGCCAAACAGGTCACTAGTCCTCTGGTGGTCAAGAAGGCTGAGATATTGGAGGTCTCGAGAGAGGTTGTGTTGTCCGAAACAAGGTTTGGCTACGGGGGCTAAGTCAGACGCGGAGATCTGGCGGAGTTGCCTGCGGAGATGCAACTCTTATTTTCAGTCGCGTGCCCACGGGCCAACGAGGCGCGACCTGACGATTTTGCATGGAACATCGTCCTTGGAAGCCTGACACGTACACTCGACGAATATTTACCTCGATATCCTGCTCTAAGTTGGCAGTCAGTCCATGTTGTCACTGATGGTCTTTACCTCATAAGCCTCAAGAAGAACATACTGAAGCTTTCCAATACAACAAGTAGCAAAAGAAATGCAAATTGAGAACTCGGAAGTATCCCATTTGGCAAAACCTTTCTTGTCCGTAATCTAGGCTTACAGTGCCTTGACAACCACGCCATCGACTCCGGGCTGAGCTTAGACTTCAAATACAAGCCTCTCTTCACCCCGCTTGACCCTCCAGGAGTTTGTAGCCTCTAACAGCTCCGGGCACCCCTTAACCAAGAATCCCCACTTCGTAAAGAAGTCCTCGTTCGCCTCCCATGCCTTCCAGTCCCAGGGTTCGCCCCATACAATTAGCGAAGGCTTGTCGCTGAGGTCCTCGTCCTTGACCTCCAAGATATCAGCGCATAGTTCGTCGTCGTCCAGATCGCCTTTGGCGAGCCCGACGAGAACGTTGTCCCGCAGTCGGGGGAAAGGAAAAAGATCGATCCAGGGATGGTGAAGGACCGTTCTTTGTAAAGGAGTGGGCTGGAGGGCTGAACTGGCCATGCGTGGTTGAGAGGGCATCAAGGGGCCGTAGGAATTATACGGTGAGATGTAGTCTGCTCGGCACAAGCCTTCTGGAGGAAACCCCATACAGGAGGCATTGTGAGCGAGGGCGGCTAGAACTCGAAGCCGCACGAGTATATGCAAAGCTTTTGGCCTAGGAGCGTGGAGAGAGTAGTCTTCGTATACTTGCTGTATGCGTGTTCGAGCTAAAGCTTGCCGTCGAGGACACCTGATGAGCTTGCATCCGGCCAATAGCGTAGTCAAAATGCTCTCGTCGTTTCTATAAGCACCTCTGAGGCTGGCGGCTTCAGGTCCTGCCTCGTGCTGTTTGATGGCCGTGTCTCTGACTATTGCGCAGATCGCGCCCATGTCATCTGATTCTCCTGAACTCGATGATGCCTGGTCGCCCTTTTTTCCATGTCTCCTACCTGGCCAGGGTGAGTTTGTTGGGACTTTGCATCCTTCCGGAGCAGTACTAACGATACGCGCGCTGGTTGAGCTTATTTTGCAACCTCTTTCTTCGCGCTTGATCAGATATGCCAGTCCAATTGTCGCTGGGCTCCCAAATGTCGCAAAGCATCCCGCACGATTACAGGCACGGTTGTTCCTAGATTTTGAGCAATTCGAGTTGTCGCACAAGTCTAAGTGACTATCGGATGGTGGCAATCACTGAGACGGGGTGCGATGATGAAAGGTGGAAAGGTGGAAAGGAGAAATCGGAAGCCACTGCCGGCGTTTAGAGTTTAGAGTTTCTGGCGTGGGGCCTAAATCCGGCGTCCGATGCCCCGCGATGACTTCATAAGGAAAGGGCATGTTGGTGGGAATAGCTACTGATCCCATCCATGTTGTCTTTCAACGGTAGGACCTAGCTAAGGTATGGTTGGAATAGCCATGTCGGCAAATTCAGTTGTTGAATTCGTAGCAGGATCGTTAGTCAATTTCGCTGAGAAAAACAAAATATTCCGCCGAAAGCCTGCCAGTTCTGGATGTTCAGTTGTTGGTGCACGAGGAGATGAAACTTACTCAGAGGGCGGGTGTTCAGCAATACTGCCCTTTCATCCAAAGCCGCTAGCTGTCAGCCCAACTTTTTCGATCAACTGCAGGCAGCGGCTGTCATCTCATCTGAAAAGCAATTTGTCTCATGGTAAATTCTTCTTGGCTGAGGGGTGGATGATGGCTGTCATGTTCCTTTGACGCTTGTCCAACCTTACAGCAGGGCTGAGCAGACGATCCGCCCATCATCCAGGGGCTGAAAGGTCAGCAAATTAGCAGATCGAATCCTCATAAATCCGTCTTGGTAGGTTGCATTGCTTTTCATTGGACCTTAATAGTTACCTCAAGAAATCCGCAGCACTGCCTTGCCTGGTGCGAACACTCCATAGCGCACTCGCACTCGCTTAACGGAATAAAGTGGGTCCCACATGAGCGGCCTCCCGAACGGGGGCCGGGGGACATTGCAGATCTGCGCCGAAGGTCCGTCCGGCGAGAGCTTACATGATCGGAGGCATCACGTTCAAACAAAAATGCACCATGAAATCAGATAATTGAAAAAGATTTCTGTCATTGAGCTTGAGTAGCTTTTCCCTTCACGCTGGTTCAGAGAGGCCCTTCTCCCGTTACTCTCGACATCGCCAAACCTACACCCGGCAACATCAGCACTAACACCGCAATGACACGCTCCCTTCGATACCGCGACGGCGTAGCAATCGCCCAAATCATCGTCTTCCTAGTTTACCTCGCCTTCGGCATCCTCTTCCGCATCCAAAAGAAAATGGGCTGGTTCGGCATCTCCTTCATCTCCGCCATCCGCATCGTCGGCGCCGGCTGCATGCTGGGAACACTCACAAACTCTTCGCGCGCAGTCTGGGCCGCCATCTTTGTCTGCGAATCCCTCGGTCTCGTGCTCTTGACCTTTGTACTGCTTGATCTGCTCAAGAGGGTGTAAGTCCCCGTCTCTATCCAGTGTCAGCTGCTTTACAAAAGAGAACACCGACGCTGACACACCACCCACGAAACAGCAACTCCTTCGTCCAGGTCCTAACACAATGGCACTTCCGCATCCCCGAACTAATCTGCTGGGCCGGCCTCGGCATCTCCATCGCAGACTACATCGTCGTAGCCAAAAAGACATCCGACGCCACGGCGCCCGGCACGCTCACGAGGGCGGGCGTAGGCCTCTTTGCCGCGCTCTACTTCTGGGGCGTCCTCCTCTTCGTGCTTCTAGCGAAGGAGTGGAGGCGGATTCCGCAGGCAGAGAGGCGGGCCATGGTGGGGTTCGCGGGGTGTTTCCCCTTCATGGTTGTGCGGATCTCGTATACGATTGCCTATGTTAGTACCGGGGAGAGGAGGTTTAGTGCGGTGAGTGGGGATACGACAACGTATCTGTTCATGACGGTCTTGATGGAGTTTGCAGTGCTGGGGTGTGTTGTGTGGACTATTTGGGGGCTGGATAGAGTGTATGAGCAGGTGGAGGCAGTGCGTGGGAAAGATACTGGTGAAGTGGATGATCTCGTCGAGTCTGGAGGGCAGAGATCGAGACACTTGGAAAATTGATAGACAGTAGCTTCCTGCATTTCAATTGAATTCGTCAAACCCACGGGGGGCCAGTCAATGAAATGGCTGGTAATGAGCCGCCCATAGGCACGGCGATATCGGATATTGTCAGAGCATATTCACATCTACTGGCAATGGGCAAGCAGACAACGTGTAAAATACTAGCAAGTTAGTTGTTCCTTTTATTTACCTAGCTACATCGAACGCCAGTTGCCAGTGGTAATGAAATAGAAAGTAAAAACCTTTTACCTTGGTCGATTCTTTTGCAAATATGCAACCCTGCCTCGAGGGTCTTGATAACTTTCATTTGAAGCCATGCTGTTAGATCTTTCCAGCCTCTCCGCCTGCTACCTCACATCTTGACGCGGAACAAGTACCGAAGACGGACTTGAGCAAGATCGTAAGCAATATACTCGTTGTACATGAGGGATGCGCCTGGAACATTGGTGGGGCCCGGCGTAACGCTCACGTCGGGCTGCGAAATCGTTAGTAATAGATCTTTGCGTTGCAATTGAGGTGCGGCTTGTCCTCACCATCTGGATTCCCTTAAGGTCCGGGTTGACACAGCTAGCATCCTTCCACTTGCTCGGCCCGGTGTTACCCTGACCCCAAGTGGACCACATGCCGCCTGCCTTTGCATCATCGCCCGCGTTATAACTCGCTCTCGTAAGCTTCTGCATTGGGTCACCAAGCTCAGCCTCGCAAAGCAGCAGCAACGCCTGACCCCCTGAGTTATAGGAGGCGCAGTAGTTTGCTGACTTGCTCGACATGTCTGCAAGGTAAATGCCCTTGCCAAACATGTAGCCCGACACGGGGGCCTCAGGAGGGGCGATTCGGAGACCCTGGCTGAGAATACCACCATAGTTGGTGACTCGGGAGCCATGCCACAGCAATCTGCGGTCGGACTTGATGGATGAGAACTCGCTCTTCTCGAAGCGCTCCAGCTCGCCCTGTCGTTCAATCCGGAAGATGTCCTCAATCTTGTAGGTGTGGCCGTGGGTAGAGCCCCTGGATCCATTCAGGTATTCGGCAAGAAGGGTGAACTCGGCGCTCTTGCGGTCAAGGGGAGTCATCTCCTCCATTCCGAGACCCTGGTACTGTCTGTCGGCTTGGTGAACGTCCGTATTCTTGCGATCAACCTTCATAAGGTCCGCTGCGACCTTCATGTCAGACAAACTGTCGAGCAAGTCGACTTCCTTCTTCAGCATAGCACCAGATCCAATGATGGGCGGACGGTTGCGACCAAAGGCGTGGGGTATCAGCGAGTAGTACGAGTTGGACAAGTGCTCAGTCGCAGCCGGGACCGACATGTGGTATTCGGAGTCGGCAAGCGTGCTGTCGTTGAAAAGAGCGGCCAAGTCTTTGAGCACCTGGAAACCTCTGAGAATGGTATTCTTGCTGAGCTTTCCGAGAGGCAGCTTGTTGGCATCGTAGTTCATGGAGGTCATGGCCTCGCGGAAGTATTGCTGGTTGAAGATGAGGCCCATCAAGTCCTGCACCGGTTGAGGAAGGGAGGATTTGACTGGGTCTGCCATCTCGTCGTCGCTGTCGTCCTCTTCCTTCTTGACGTCGCCGGCCGCTCCCTCCTCATCGTCTTCTTCATCGTCGTCCGAGTCTGGCTCGTAGCTACGCTCAACAAAGGCATACTTGCCGGGTTTGGGAGGGTCTGCGCGCTTGGCCCACGCGATACCACTCTTGTCTTTGAACTTCTTGTCGTAGTTCTTCAACGCGTCGTCGAGGCTACCATTGCCGAGGACAGCACACTGGCCGAATTCTCCGACTCTGCCCCAGCGGGTCCACGTTTTGAACGTTTTGCCATCTTGAACAAGCTGCGGGTACGATTAGATGGCGGCTTGGACTAGTACCATCAGTCGGCGTGCACATACCTGAATACGATAGAACTTGTTGTTATTGTTTGAAGCATTCGTTTGGTTCAGAGATGCGTCGTAGATGACACCGTCGGGTGCAATGTAGACGGTTCCCTGGACCTTGCAGCCCTCGTCAAGAGGAACCACGATTCCTTTGGAGGCTGTCTGGGCATCGCCACTTGCAGCCTTCTTTTTCACGTCGGTCTTGTCGTCAGCATCGTCGGCCACGGCCGCAGAACCAGCAGCCTTCTTCTTGCCCTTGACACCGGCGGCAGCCTTCTGCTTCTTGACGTCGGGCTTGGCATCAGCATCACTGTCATTGTCAGACTGAGCATCTGCCTTGACGCGTTTCTTGCTCGCGGCACTGGTCTGGGATGCAGCGCTGACTTGAGACTGCGACTGCGAGCCATTCTGCTGCGAGCCGTTGGTGGCTGTAGCCGGGGCGGCCTTTGCCTTGGTCGTTGTGGTTTTGCCGGGCTCAAAATCGCTCTCGGCGGCCTTGGACCCCTGAGACTCGGACTTCTCGGCCCAATCAAGGGTGACGATGAAGATGTCATTCTTCTGAGCGGAAGCAACTTTGGTGGTTACAGCTTTGAATTCCTCGAGTGTCGTAATAAGGTGAGTAGTCTTCTTGGTGATTGACTTGGCGATGCCGGCACCGAGGGAGGAGAGCCACGACTCGAGATCCGTCCGCTTCTTGTCAAAGGTGCCACTGATGGCAATGACAGTGCCAGCCAATGGCTGGGCCGCAGGGGTGTTGGGAGCAGCGCTTGTAGCTGCTGCAGCTGTTCTCCCGGATCTCCTTGGAGCGGACATTGTGGGTGGGATGTGGAGGTTATGCGGCTATGTATACAGGGGAGCTTGATTCAGGGAAACAGAGCTTGGAGAGTATGACAGGGGTCCCCGTGTTGAGTGACCGAGTCCAATCGATGGTGGTTGTGTGAGATTCTAAGATGGAAAAGAAAGTGAAGATGAAAGACGAAAAGATGAAAGGGAGACGAGATGATTTATTTCGCTGTGCCTCCTTTGACTTTGGATCAGAAAAACAAGTCAGCTCATTGCCAATTGGAGTTACCTCACCTAGTGCCTTGGGACCTGGGTGGAAGGTGCCGCACGCTTTCAGCTCCTTCTGGACGAACCAACATGGTCCTGCAGGCACCAACGCCGCTGGTGCCTGGCGCACGAGCCACCGCGACTGCTCGAGGTCCTCGCGAGTTCACGTGCCGTCTCAACATCAAGGTACCGCCGTACCACCACAAGTAACGGAGTACTTCACTATCAACCACTTCTAGGTGCCAATCAAGGTACCTAGATACTTGACGATGTTTCTCCCCTGGAGACGCTTTTCAGTTTTAGAGGAGCTCCTGCCTGGAGCAAGGTATTGGCTTCAAATTGCAGTGTACCTCAAGTTTGCCATCTGAAGTATCCGAATCGCTTCATGCCCATCCGTATGCCAACCCTGATTGACTTCCTTGAGCGGGCCAGCTGCCTAGATATCTACATGGTGGGTCCTTTCATCCCAATTCCAGACTCTACACCGACTGTAATACACCTCCAGAAGCAACTACATGGCCAGCATCACCAGACGGGAAACCTCAAGTCTTCGACTCGATGGCTAGACTCCCCATTCAGCCACCAAGATTCTCCAATTGCCCCCCCCCCCCCCACCTCCCAAAAAAAAGTGGTCATCATAGGAAGAAAAGTCGAGCAGAATTACGACCCAGGCCTAATTGTTTCCTATACCATCGTCTACTGAAACACAATCGGGTAAAAGCCTTGCTCGTAGGCTATCGTGTCTTCGAGGCCATCCAGCGCTTCCTCAATTCCATCTGGAAAGTAGCCTCCTGACTCCATTTGTTCTGGATCGAGTATCAAGTCGTCAGCCATTATGTAGTATTCACCCCTCGCCAGCTCCGCCATTCTATTCCACGGCCACTGAAGCAGCGACCACGTTGACTAGACCGTAGTACTCTGAGAATGGCGAATACTTCAATGAGAACTTGAAGGACCGAAGTGGGGAAAGGTTCCATGTGAACAGCGGTTGGACATAGGTTAGTCGATCCTAAACCATAGGGAAGTTCCGTTTCAAAGGGGCCCTTGTGCCCCGTATGGTGAAAGGGAAGCCGGTCAATACAGCACTTCTGTTGGGTCCGGTGCGCTCTCGACGTCCCTTGAAAATCCGCGGGAAGGAATAATTCTCACGCCAGGTCGTACTCATAACCACAGCAGGTCTCCAAGGTGAACAGCCTCTGGTTGATAGAACAATGTAGATAAGGGAAGTCGGCAAAACAGATCCGTAACTTCGGGAAAACGCAAGAGCTAAAGGGAGTTGCAGCACGTAACTACTGACCTTGTATCGCGTCCATTATGTCATCTTCCAGAATGTCGTTGTCCATGTCATCGTCAATCTCATCGTCCATACCATCGTCCGAATCTTCGTCATCTTCTTCGTCCGACTCCGGGTTGCGCTTACGCTCGGGCGGGATATCAACCATGATTTGCTTTGCCAAGTCTCCGACAAAATGCCTCCAGTCGATGCCTGTGTACTCGCGTCTGCTCACAGTCTTGTCCGGCACCCCGTCTGTGGCTTGAACCCATACCCTGGCGCTCGTCATAGACATGCGCTGAGCAGGACAACCGACCATGATATGTTTCAGATCGAGGTCGGGGACGTCGCGCAGACTCTGGAGAAATCGAGCCCACATGTTGATAATGGAAATGTCGCCTCTCGCGTTATAGTCCCCTTGAACAGCTCCTGTACGGCTGCGGAGCGTGACCTTCCACAGCTCGAGATTCCTCAGTGTTGGTGCAAGCTTTCGCACGACTTGGAGAAGCCGCTTCGGCTCAACTTCAACGAAGCCCAAGTTGATCTCTTCCAGATGGGGAAACGCTACCGGAGCTGGAGGCATCGGTAGCTGGTTGTCGTCCGGTTCAGAATGAGCACCGAGGACAGGTGTACCCAGCCAGTCAATGAATTCATCAACAGCATCAGAGTTATGGCCTGGGTGCGCAAAGTTCAACCGTAGATGCTTGAGGTTCGGCATGTGACCCAAGAAGAGACGCAGGGAATAATCGTGTCGACGTCGTAGTTGAGTTCCCGCGCTGCCTGTGAGTGACGTGACTCGGAAGGGG